AGTAGAGACCAGGGGTGGGCAAACTTTTTGACTCGTGGGTCGCAAAGGGTTCTGAAATTTGACGGAAGGGCCGGACCAGGAGCAGATGGATGGAGTTTTTGGTAATCCACCTCATAAGAGAAAAAAAATAACATGGGATAAGTAGAAAACAGACCCCATGTTATTGAAATATCCCATTATTGAAAATCATTACAAAGCATTACAACAAAATATTTGTCTTTCAAGTCCCACAGTATTTACTATTTATGGAAATAACTTTTAAAACACTGAAAATTATTATTATTATTACTATTATTCAAGTTCGACCAAGCCGGATAAAAAAAAAATTACAGGGCCGTATAGAACATTTGATTCCTGACTCTTGCTCTTTTTTGCTACTTATTTAATTTTATTTATTTTATTGTATTTATTATTATTATTTATGTATTTATTTTTTATATTATTATTATTATTATAAATTTATTAATTGATTTACTTATTTATTTATTTTTAGATTTTATTATTACCATTTATATATTTTCTCTTTATATTATATTGTGATGTGTGAGAGCTTCTGTGTCCAAATAATTTCCCTTGAGGATCAATAAAGTTTGTCTAAGTCTAAGTTTAAGTAATGAAGGAAAATTGTTCTGTACTCGGCCGATTCACGACAAACAAGGGTCAGTATAGTCACATTTTCTTTCTGTTTTGGTAGTTTTTAAGCAGCTTTTCTGCATTTTACCGAAACAAATGACAAATTCATGCCTCTATTTACTGTCGGCAGGGATCAAATTGGTCAAAAATAGCGACATTTGGGATATTTCTTCTATAAAACTAGATAAATTTAAACAACTTTTGATAAATCTGCTGGGACAGGGGACACTTGGCTCAAAACTGGGACTGTCCCGGGTAAATAGGCACGTCTGGTCACTCTACTTAAAGCTCAATTTAGTATTTTTAGTGTATTTTCCCTAGTGAAATAAATGCAAAACTCGATTAGACAGTAATATTGCGAGGGCTTTGGGTGATTTCCTGCGGCGTGCTGAAGGTCTGCCGGAGCTGCACAGGGCCGTCTTTGTTGGCCGCGCGCTGTGTGACTGCGGAGATTGTTCTACTGTCTTAATTTAGGACGCATGTTGGCATTCCAGGGTTTTTATTAGACGACGCCTGATAGGATGTGAGGCTCTTTGTATCTAGAGACGTGTAATTAATGACATTTTTAGAGTCCGTCGTCAGCGTGGATTCGACTCTTTGGGCTCTGACATTTTATATCTTATTTTGCAAAATTAAAAACTGGAACATCCTCGGTTTTTTGGGGGTTGGGCATAAAAAAATTGTGAAACGATTGCGTAATTAAAGAAAATTTGTCAGTTTTTAGCCCGTTCATGACATACGTGAGTCAGTATAGTCACATTTTCTTTGTGTTTTGGTCATTTTTAAGCAATTTTTGCCTCTTTTTACTGTTGGCAAGTGTCAGATTGGTTAAAAATAGAGACACTTTGGACATTTCTTGTATAAAACTGGGACAAATCAGTGGTTTTGGGACACAGTGCTCTAAACTGGGGTAAAATAAGGACATCTGGTCACTTCATCTTATGTAAAACTTCAATTTCCCTTGGGATCCCTAAAGTATTTCTGTCTCTCTCTCTCTGTACTACTCAAACTTATGGAAAACAAGCTTATCTGAGATTTTAATTTGGAATTCCATGAACTTGATCTAACTGTGTTGTTGTGGTATTTGCATTTATGTTGTCGTGTTTGTATTCGTGTCGGCGTTTGTGTTTGTTATGAGCCCTCCCGCCTTCCCTATTTTGTAGTAGCAACAGCTTATACACATAGAGAACTACATTTCCCATGATTCATTTCAGTGCAGAAAACATGAAGAAACATGAACTTTAACTCTTGGGATTGTGGTGGAAATAATTCACACCAAAATCTTGTCAAGGTATTTTAAAAGTATTTTTAAAGTCCCCCCTGGCTGGAAGGTCCCCAAGCTGGAAAGTCCCCCTGAATTTGTGTGTGTGTGTGTGTGTATATATATATATTAGGGCTGGGCGATATGGATCAAAAAATATATCTCGATATATTTTGCTATGTCTCGATATATGATATATCTCTCAATATATGTTCAAGAAAAAATAACCCCCTAAAACTGAAAACTGCAAAAACAAATCTGCCAATTCCACAAGGTCTTTTTTTTTTTTTATTGAAGTGTAAGAGGTCGGCAGTTCATATAGGAACTTTTAAGATTACAATTTATATTTCCTTCTTTTCATTCATAAATAAAACAACTCAACACAAGCTCATCTTTGCATTAACTCTGTTATCCAAACCAGAACCAGAACCATGAGCTCATTTAGCAGAAGAAGCTCAGGATGTTCCTTATTTTAATAGATCCATGTTATTATCCAGCAGTAAGGAGCTCTGAGGTTTAATCCCACAATCCACTGCAGATCAAACCCAACGTTTCCAAACACTGTTGTACAAGTGACACTGCAGCAGATTATTCATTAAAATATTCTGCATAAATAAACTTTACATTGCTAAACTTTACAATATATAAAACATAACGACTCTAGAGCCACATCAGCCCATTTGAGATAATAATGTGTTTAATGCAGTTTTGCGCACGTGTGTTTACATTTTACAGAAACGAAACTTAAGCGCGTGGCTCATTTGCATAAACAGCACTTCTCCTGCATCTCAGCTCGTTTAGCTTCTTTCGGGCTAAAGGACGCGACTCGGTGGAATATGAGGATGTGCTGCTGGTGATGCTTTTGTCTGTAAATGGTTGAAAAGGTTCGTGGTGCTTGAAGCTTTTCACTGGCACCAACTTTCGGCGTTCACATCGATAGTGACGAGTGAAGGAGACACGAACGAACAAACTCAGGGAGGCGGAGGCGACGAGAGAGAAGACAAACAAGGGAAGCGGTGAAATCTAAATTGAATATAAGCATTATATCGATATATACGATATGTCAGAATTCATATCGAGTTTAAAAACTATCTCGATATATTTAAAATATCGATATATCGCCCACCCCTAATATATATATATATATATATATATATATATATATATATATACACACACACATACACACAGACACACACACACACAACATATACACATGCATGCATACAAGCAAAACATGCAAAAATCATGTGGTCTCAAACACACACAAATAATAATCCACCACCTCAGAAACTCTCAGTAAATGTGCCACAACTATTTCAAGATTTTATCTTACATATTTCAATGAAATACATACTTAAAGGTTGTATAGAGGATTTTCCAAGGAACAAGAAATCCAGCGACTGTTTGTCCTTTTTCAAATGTTGCGCATGCGTGAAACCACCCCCCCTCCCCTACAGCTCCTACGTAGAAACGCCTCCTCCCTCCTCCTCCTCCTTACGCCAGAAACAGGTTTGTTTACAGCCGGTGCTCTGCACATGACTTGTAAACAACTAACTTCAGTGTTGGTTAGGCAAGATGGAGAAGTGAGGGAGCGGGGAGAGAAGGAGCGGAAGAACGGAGGAGCGGGGAGGAGCGGGGAGAGGAGCAGGAAGGGGTGCAGAAAAGGGTGCGCGGAGATTCCGTGTGAATGAACTAGCTACAACACGCAGCAGCAAGCGGACTCTTTCTTTGCCTTGAAAATTACGTTTTCAGACATAGGATATCGCATTCGTGTCCTGAAAAACGTTTGTGTAGCTCTTGGAAATAAAGTACGTTTTCATAATAAGCAGAAGTGACCTGTCCAGGAGTAATTTGGCGACCAATGCGTCAGAATCACCTTAGTTTGGCTTCGCTGCTTTTCCCCTTGTCTTCTTCTTTCAGCGACCTCAAAAAACGGACTTTCTTTTGCGGCGAACTGCTCCTGGATTTTTGTCGCCATTGCAACAAACTTTGTGCGAACTGCGAGGAAGATATAGGTCAAAAAAAGCCGCTAAGAACTGTTGCGTTGGTGGAGTAAACAGCGTCTGTGCGTCTTGCGTCTGTGGACTGCGTGACAGGCGTACGTAAACCAAGTAATGGCAGCGCGCAGACAAGTCAGTTACGCTAGACACGTAGAGAGTTTGATTGACAGCCTGTCAGCTAACAGATAACGAGGCAGTGTCGTTATCTATTGGCAAATGTTTAGCCCCACCACGTCCAGAGTTGATGAATTTTTATTCTCTTTTTTTTTGGTCATCATAATTACAAGGCTACTACATCTCTATAATGCTATCATTGACAATTTGAAACAAAAAAAAATCCTCCATACAACCTTTAAGGTCTACCTAAAAGTGATTCTGAATGATCTTTGAACACATTCTGTAGATTTTTAGCCCTCGCGCTCTCCTCGGAGTCACACTGACCCGAAGAAATGTTTTTTTCCTTCCCGCTCTCTTGGGGCAGGTCAGTCAGACCAAAAAATTTATTTTCTTGCCTGGCGAGAATTTATTTGAAAATTAATTTTTGGGTCTGACTGACCCGCCCCAACTTAGGTTAAGAAACTTAACCTAAGTTTCTTGTGTTGCGCTGCTACAAATTATGTTTATGGCAACAGGTACGGAAATAATTCATATTTCTTCCCAAATCACCTGTTACGGATGCTATAGGACAGGGGGAACAAGAAAATAAAAATTAAAATATGAGTTCATAGTAAACGTCTGTGAGCAAATGAAGATTATATTGATATTACAAACTGAAAAAAATGGAAGATTTGTAAAATGCCATAAACAAGTCCCGACATTTGGTCTCACTACTTTCACATTTCATTTTATTATGATATAGAAGCTTATTTTCTAATTCAATATACCACAGTTTGTGACGCGGCTGACTAAAGGCCAGAGAGACCGTTCGAGCTGGGACTTTCAAGCCAGGGGGACGCTCGAGCCGGTATTCCTACAATTATATTAGTCTCTCCAAAATATTGCAATAAATATCGTACTGAGAGATTTGGATAGGAGACATATGAGACACCAATGCAAATGTAAAAGCCAAAATAATAATGATCTGTTTGAATGTGTATTTGCAGGTGTCCCAGGCCGCGGCGGAGCTCAAGGCCTTCTGTCTGCAGAACGCCCACAAAGACCCCCTCCTCACCGGGGTGCCCTCCAGCGACAACCCCTTCAGACCACCCAAGTCATGTGCGCTGCTCTGAGCCGTGAGTACCAACCGCCCACCCTCCCGCCCTCCCACCCGCAGCTCCACATCCAGCTCTGTTTGTTTTCTAATCCTATATCAAATGGAACAATGTCACTTCTGTGTGGAGAGCACCAGACCCGGCGCTCCGAGCTAACACGTTTTATTTTTACCATCAGGCCAAAGGACACCGGATCGCTCACTTCCGCCGATCACATGAACATAACGACGAAGAGACAAGAGGCAGTGTACACACCAAACCGATGAGCAGTGTGCATTTTATATTGGCAAAGTCTGGATTATTCAGACGTTTAAAGCACTAAATCTGACTTTAAAACCAAGCAGGCCTGTAACGATAACCAATAAATCAATGAAAACTTTTAATGAGCTCAATAACTTTTCCAATAATTCGCGATAATTTCTATTTGTGTGCTCGTTTGTTTTTTGAGTCTGAATGTCCAAAAGCTTCTCAAAACGCTTGAACGAACGTAATCCGTGTGTCATTCGTTCATTCGTTTTTCAAAATAAAACCAAAACATCCAACTGTTGTGTTTCGTTTAAAGTCCGGTGCAGTTTATTTGTGAAAAAAGTTAGAAAATAGACCATTTAATGACAGTGCGCCTTATAATCCAGAGAGCCCTATAGTGCAGAAAATACGGTAATGTAAAACACACTGATTTTAAACACCAAAAGAGTGAAAATGTCAAACGTGTTGCATAAACGAGTTTCCTTCCTCTGAACAAGCAACGAAACTGTAGCTGTAACAAAATAATTTAGTAAAATATACCAGAAATATACTCTTGGTGACATATCGATACAGCAGCCCACAATATCGATACTGTATCACTTTAAACAATATGATATATCGATATTTTGATATTTTTGCACACCCCTACTGACTGGCATTAGTGAACTACTGAGCAAAACTAACATTATGTTCATGAATAAAACAGAAGTAACTTGTTCACTCAGACTGATTCTACAATTAAAATAAAAAATCGATTTCATGATGTTGATATTAAGTAAGTAATTACGTATTTTATTTATTTAGCGCTTTTCACAGAGCATTATTCAGTCATTCCAGACCCGGTGGTTGTAAACTACTATTGTAGCCACAGCTGCCCTGGGCCAATTGGCACCATTGGCCCCTCTGATCACGCCCATCACTCACACACTCCACTTTCATACTAGGCAGTGTGGGTGAAGTGTCTTGCCTAAGGACACAATGACAGTTATTGTGTCTGGCGCCCCCCTGTGGCACCTGATTTTCCCAGCGTCTCCCATCCAAGTCCAGACCAGACCCGGCCCTGCTGAGCTTCTGAGATCTGACGGGATCAGACTTTGACAAACTGGTATGGCCACCAAAACGATTTATTATCTATTTTTATATGAGGAGAAAATTCAGTTTGTCGACTGGACAAAAGTTAGTTTGGTTGAAGACGTTTCACAGCTCATCCAAGCTGCTTCTTCAGTTCTGGTCAGACGTTGGTGGTTCCTTATATCTGCAGGGAGGAGCTAACTAAGGCTGCGTTCAGACTGCAGCCTGAAGTGACCCAAATCCGATTTTTTGGCCCCTATGTGACCTGTATCTGATCTTTTAATGACAGTCTGAACGACACAGATCCAGTTTTTTCAAATGCGACCCAGGACACTTGGATATGTGGTCCTGAAACCGATAAATATCTGATCTTTTGACATGCGACTTCAGTGTGAACGGTCAAAGCGCATGAATCCGACCTACACGTTATCAACAAGACACAAACGTCACTATTCTGAGCTGAAGTAGGCAAAAATTGTTAATGAACTCCATGTCACTGAAGCGAAGCACATCACCACTCACCACTCTTGGCTACGTCTCCACATCCACACGTTCCTTTCAACGGACGTCGCTGTCGCTGTCCCACAAAACACCACGGCCAAAAACCTCGTCCTTCTCCTTCTCAATCTCCTCCTTAAAACAAGTAAGTTGTTCATGTTCTGGCTCCGGTACAAGAGAAAATTTAAAATCACCAGGTGCTCAATGCTCGCGTCCATGTTTGGACAACTTCCGTAAAAACAGAGCACGCTCGCTGCAGTTGCCGTCGTCGTGTCTCCAGTGCACATGCGGGACACTTTCGGGCCGTTTACCGTTCATACTGGAGTCACATACAAGTCACATTTAATTGGAAATGTGAACGACCTCGCAAAAACATCAGATTTCACCAAAAAATCTGAATTGAGCATTAAGCCCTGCAGTCTGAACGTAGCCTAACTGAAACTAACACACACACTTGTTTACAGTTTATGTTAGTTTGGCATATTGACCTGTACAGGGTGTGGGGTCTAATTAGCAGAACAATTCATGGCCATAATGGAGCTTCCACACCTCTGGACCTGACCTGGATACACCTGTTGTTCTCTTGTTTGTTTTGATTTAGGTTTGAGGATGGAGTTGTAAATCAGAGATAGATGGTGTGTGAGGCCTCCATTTCTGTTTAGAGAAGGATTCTCTTTCTTAACAAAAATGGCTTCTTTCACTCCCCTCTCAAACCAATATTTCTCTCTGGCTAAAATCTGTACCTCGCTGTTCTCAAATGAGTGGCCTGTGGCTTTTAAGTGGAGATGTACAGCAGACTGAGGTCCACTGCTGCATGGATTCTACCTGGACGACTGAGGGATTCTTTACACATCTATTTTTATAGTTTTTTTTTAGATTAGCATACACAGATAGATTTAAGCAGTTCAAATGCGAGACAAATTTAGAATACCATGATGTTAGTTTTGCTCAGTAGTTCACTAATGCGTTGTCGTTGTTCGCCTTTGAGTTTTCGTCTTTCTTACCTTGATAGTTGTGGATAAATTCTTCATGGAAAAATCTTTATCCTTTGTGGACCTTGTTGGTTGAAGATTTGGTGATGGGGCAGATTTATGAAGCTGGTGGAGAATACGCAGAGGACAGTTCACAAATATTCATACGTCACTATTACCTGGTCCCCGAAGGTTTGACCAGGTTTTGTATTCACGCTGTGTGTCTGTGTGTGTGCCCACCCGCAATAATTCCACCATTTATGCACCGATTCTCACCAAATTTGGTACGTGGGTCAAGCCCCTGTGCCCAATACTGCAAAAAAGGTTTGGTGACGATCTGAGGTCATTTGAGGTCACACGGGTCAATTGAAGAGTCACGCCATTATTAAGTATTGGCAATTTCGTCAATTTCTGAACCATCTGCGGGCTAAAATATTCACCCAATCATCACCCAAGTTGGCACACACATAACCGGGGCACACTGGATGTTACAGGTTGAAATCAGTCAAGGTAACCGAGGTCAAATATGTGTTTTTGGTCATAACTCTGTGAAGGATGGGGCTCGAGCAATGGGAGTGTCTCAAAATCTCAGAAAAATTATTATCTATTTATAATTCTATGCATTTGTACAGTAAAATATTAATAGTTTTCGAGTTAATCACTAATTATAACAGTTCCTTTATCTTTCAGTGTGGCCGTTAAAATTCTAATTTCTTGTTTTTCTGGTGATACACAACACACTGATCTAACATATACACAACTCATGAAAAATGACATTTTCGTTCGACATCGACATTCTCATGTGTGACCAATATCACACAAATGTTCATGGGCCTGTACACATACACACATTACATTGTGGATATAATGATCATGTGATATGGGCTGGGCTCCTCATAAACTGCTTCTGTGGTGATGAACTGACCCACCGACGCCTCGTGGGGACCAGGTTGATATTTCCGATTGTGCTTGTTTAAATTAGTGACCAGAACCAAGAACTCACTATGTTACAATAAAAAAAAACTGCACTTCAACAATATTAATGTCTGTATCAAATATTATTGTCCTGTAGAATGTTCTGACGTTTTCTGAAACCCACCAGGACATGTTATCATTATATTTGCCGATTGTGAAGCTGAAATTGTGAAAAATAAACACCAAAAAGAGACTTGAATTGTGCTGAAACCCAAATATAGTATTCAGTTGATACCAGCAGTGTTTCTATGCAATATTTGTCCTTCTAAATATCAGGTTTTGTTCATGATGTCTGTTATTCTGATGAATATATATATATCTTTTTATTTATTAGTTGACATTATTATGACTGTTATTTGCATGTACACATTGTCACTGTTTTATTTTGATTTATTAAGATTTATTAAGTCAATAACACAACTTTATTGGATTGTTGGCATCACCTTCCACTGCCTGAAGATATAATGCCACCTAGCTGCACTACAATGCAATTACAAAATGGTATATCTGATTTTTATTGCTGAAAAATACATAATAAATCCTAATTTACAAAAGACTCGCCTACGTTTTTTTGTATCTGGTCAGAAAAGACTTTCTCACAACAGTTCTACATGTGAAGATGCAGGTGATTTTTTGTTTAGCTACAGTGGAAATGATGTAGTCCACTTTTAGACCTGGTTTAGTCCAAGATTAGACCTGGATTAGTCCTGTTATGACTTGATTTAAAGCTCCTATATTAAACAAAATGGACTCTTGTGAGCTTTTATGTTATGGTACGACGGAGTATAAGGCTCAGATTAAAAATAAATAAATGATGCTGGCACTACGAGAATAAAGTCATAATTTTACAAGAATAAAGTCGAAGTCAAAATAAAGTCGTAATATTATGAGAATAAAGTTATAATATTACGAAAATGAAGTCGTAATAAACTCAAAGTCAAAGTGAAAATTGCGGCAGAAGAAGAACTCAGTCCCTGTATCAGTCGTTTATTCGTTTTTCAATATAAAACTAAAAATAAGAAAAAGAAAAAACAACAATTTTCTTCATTATTTGCTTCCCCGGACTGAACAGGACTAAACCAGAACTAAACCAGGTCCAGGACCAGACCGGGACTGAGACCGGGACTGAGGACCGGGACTGAGACCGGGACTGAGGCCGGGACCAGACCAAGACTAGGAATTTTCAGAATAAAAAACTTGGACATTCCTGGTTTGTGGTGGTTGGTAATAATAAAACTTGTGAAACGAGTCGTAATTAAGGAAAATTGTTATGCACTTGGCACTAATGTGAGTCGTTATAGTCATATTTTCTTTGTGTTTTGATCATTTTTAAGCAGCTTTTCTGCATTTTATCGAAACAAATGACAATGTATGGCTCTTTTTATTGTCAGCAGGTATAGAGTGACCAGATTTTCAAAATTCTAAATTGGGACACACCCGGGTTGGGAATGTTAGTATTAGAGCCCGACCGATATATCGGTTGGCCGATATTATCGGCCGATACGGGCACCTGTAGGCATATGCTTGCTGATAGGGGCCGATATTTCACGTGGGCATGTGAAACGTCGTTAAAAATCTTAGACTCTCTATTATGTTCATTTAATCCAATTTACAGACGGATAAATGTCCTAATATGTTGCTCCACATCAGTATTTATCTGCGGAGTCATTTGTGTGTGTGTGTGTCCGTACTGTCCTTGAACACACCACAGAGTCGAGTCACTCACGTGTGTTTGTTTACACGCGCAGACACGGATCCAAACACTGAGATTATTTTCTTTTTACGGACAATCGGTTTGAGTCTGGATTAAAAGGACATTTATTAGTTCAGACTTGTGATGTGAGGAGGAGCCTGTGTGAGCGGTGAGTGTTGGAAATATGTCGACTTTGAAGATAGTTTTGGTCATTTGTTATGGGTTAGCTGCTGTAGCTCCCGCACATAAACAGACTGTTTTCTATTGGCCTATTGTAAAGTGACTATATTGGCCGTATATTTTTTACTGGACCTGCACTGATATGTAAATGAGCTGTGAATAGACGTGTGAATTATGACATTTGCGCATATAATTAATTACCGCGGCGCGCACGTATTTTACGGCTAAAGGCTAACACCGCTAGTTTATTTACTAGTTATGGGTCGGTCGCGAACGAAATGACTCTTAGAACCGGCTCTTTGAAGGGAACGACGGGAGCCTGATCCTTATTGGGAGCCGTGTTTTCTCTTTCTCTCACTTTTTTTCTCTTCACGCCGCGTGCAGACTCGTGGTTTGACAGCGGCTGAAAACGAAACTTTGAGAAATTTGCGTGTACATAGGAAAAAAAAACAAAAAAAAAAAACGAGCATATTTGGCTGTAGTTTAGCATAAAATAAATAAGTCCCGGTTTAGTCCTTTTTCAGTCCTGGTTCAGTCCTGATTCAGTCCTGCTTTAGACGTGCTTTAGTCCTGCTTGCAACAAAACATCTGAAGAGCCACTTGGGAGCCAAAAGAACCAGCAGCTTTTAGTGAGCCGAGCCAAAAGAGCCGGTTCTCTAAAAAGAACTGGAATACCCATCACTAGTGTCTAGAATGTGATGCAAAAATGCCATTAGGCCGACCTACTGTCTGTAAATATGATGTAAAGAGGCAGAATAACAATAAATGTTGCCCAAATAAACCCACTTTAAAATCCACTAGAGCCAAACCTAAGTTTTTTAAACAATTCAACATTTACAGTGAATTTTTACATCACTAAATATATCGGTGATTATATCGGCTATCGGCAGCTCCAACTCCCATTATATCGGTTTCATATCGGCCACAGCAAAATCCATATCGGTCGGGCTCTAGTTAGTATAGATAAAATTCGTGAAAAGAGTATGTGAGATTGTGCATTCTCGTGTCAGTCATAATCTGAGGGGCTTCTATCTCTACATTTTTTATTTTTTTTGCTTTATGGTCATTTGCAAACAGGGTTTTCTGTATTTTGGCAAAACAAATTGTTTATTGTTTTGTTTGTTTATTTCAACTTCTAGTCATTGTCACAGAAGAACAACGAAATTGCGTTTGGAGCATCCCATAAAGTGCAAAAACCATAAATAATAAATACCCCTTAAACCCAAGTGTAAACACTAACCCTGTGTGGCCTCAGTACAACATGAGACGGTTCTTATAGCAGCAAGATGAGGGTGTGTCAAGTAACGTACCCAGACAGGGACATTCAGACAGAGACCTGAGAATCATGACAGAAAAATGCAACAATGCAACCAGTTCAGTGTTATTAAGAGTTTGATGTGATTTTTGTCCGTGAGAAGGGGGCAGAGAGGGGCAGAGTTCAGGAGCCTCACAGCCTGTGGATACAGACTCTTGGCCAGTCTGGATGTTCTGGCCCGTATGGACCTGTACCTTCTCCCTGAGGGCAGCAGGTGAAAAAGGTGGTGACAACTTATGCTCCTCTTTACTGTTGGCAGGAATCAAATTAGTCAAAAATTGTGATAGTATTGTTTTAGTCCTGGTTTATAGTTGATGTAGTCCTGGTTTAATCTTTGTTTAGTTTGTTTAGTTGTTCAGTTCTTGCATAAAACTGGGACAAATCACTGGTTTTGTATAAATCTGCTGGGACAGGGGACACAGGACTCAAAACTGGAACTGTCCCGGGTAATTGGAGTGAGGAAACAATATTGTAACACAGGTCAGAAAACAATGTAAAATGGGTCCCTTGGTGATACTTGGTGTGGATTGGTTTGAGAATCACTGAGATCAGGGTGACCAGATTTTCAAAATAAAAAACTGGAACATCCCTGGTTTGGGTTGGTTGGTAATAATACAATTGTTAAACGAGTCGTAATTAATACGGTAACCAGACGTCCCGATTTACCAGGTATATTTTGACCAATTTGATCTAAACCATGACTCAACTAAGACCAAACCAGAACTACATCAGGTCTAAACCAGGACTAAAACAGGACTATCACAAATTTTGACTAATCTGATCCCTGCCAACACTAAAGAGGAGCATAAATTGTAATTTGTTTCTCCAAAATACAGAAAATCGTGTTTGAAAATGACCATAAACCAAAAAAATGCAGCAACAGAAATCCCTCAGATCACGACTGACACGAGAATCCACAATCTCACATGCTATTCTCACCATTTTATTTATACCAACCATCCCACCTCGGGTGTGTCCCAGTTTTGAATTTTGAAAATGTGGCCACCCTAGTAATTAAGGAAAATTGTTATGCATTCGGCACTAATGTGAGTCAGTATAGTTGCATTTTCTTAGTGTTTTGGTCGTTTTTAAGCAGATTTTCTGTATTTTACAGACACAAATGACAATGTATGACTCTCTTTACTGTCAGCAGGGATCAGATTGGTCAAAAATAGGGATATTTCTTGCATAAAACTGGGATAAAGCACTGGTTTTGTATAAATCTGCTGGGACAGGGGACACAGGCCTCAAAACTGGGACTGTCCCAGGTAAATCTGGACGTCTGGTCACTCTAAACATGAGCAAGGAAACTTTTTTTTTTAAACACAGGTCAGAAAACAACTTAACCTTTGGCGATACTTGGTGTGGATTGGTTTGAGAACCGTTGAGATTAGTGAGACCAGATTTAGAAAATTCTAAACTGGGACACACCCGGGTTGGATGGTTGGTATAAATAAAACTGCATTCTCGTGTCAGTCATAATCTGAGGGACTTCTGTTTCTGCATTTTTTTGCTTTATGCTCATTGGCAAACACAGTTTTCTGTATTTTGGCAAAACAAATAACAGTTTATGCTCCTGTTTACAGTTGATGGGGACCAGATTAGTCAAAAATTGTGATAGTCCTGGTTTAGTCCTGCTTTAGACTTGATGTAGTCCTGGTTTAAGCTTAGTTTAGTCCTGCTTTAGGTCATATTGGTCAAAAATAGGGAAACCTGGGACATGTCTTGCATGAAACTGTGAAAAATCACTGTTTTTGTATAAATCTGCTGGGACAGGGGACACAGGGCTCAAAATTGGGACTGTCCCAGGTAAATCTGGACATCTGGACTCTAAACATGAGTGAGGAAACGATATTTTACCACAGGACAAAAGACAACATAACCCTTGGCAATACTTGGTGTGGACTGGTTTGAGAGCTGCTGAGATTAGAGAGACCAGATTTTCAAAATTCTAAACTGGGACACACCCGGGTTGGATGGTTGGTATAAATAAAATTGTGCATTCTCGTGTCAGTCATAATCTGAGGGACTTCTGTTTCTGCATTTTTTTGCTTTATGCTCATTGGCAAACACAGTTTTCTGTATTTTGGCAAAACAAATAACAGTTTATGCTCCTGTTTACAGTTGATGGGGACCAGATTAGTCAAAAATTGTGATAGTCCTGGTTTAGTCCTGCTTTAGACTTGATGTAGTCCTGGTTTAAGCTTAGTTTAGTCCTGCTTTAGATCATATTGGTCAAAAATAGGGAAACCTGGGACATGTCTTGTATGAAACTGGGAAAAATCACAGTTTTTGTATAAATCTGCTGGGACAGGGGACACAGGGCTCAAAATTGGGACTGTCCCAGGTAAATCTGGACATCTGGACTCTAAACATGAGTGAGGAAACGATATTTTACCACAGGTCAAAAGACAACATAACCCTTGGCAATACTTGGTGTGGACTGGTTTGAGAGCTGTTGAGATTAGAGAGACCAGATTTTCAAAATTCTTAACTGGGACACACCCGGGTTGGATGGTTGGTATAAATAAAATTGTGCATTCTCGTGTCAATCATAATCTGAGGGATTAATGTCACTGTATTTTTTTGCTTTATGCTCATTGGCAAACAAACATTTGTATTTTGGCGAAAAAAATGACAATTTATGCTCCTCTTTACAGTTGACGGGGGCCAGATTAGTCAAACATTGTGATAATCCTGATGTAGTTCTGGTTTAATCTTAGTTTAGTCCTGGTTTAGATCATATTGGCCAAAAATAGGGAAACCTGGAACATGTCTTGTACAAAACTGAGACAAATAACTGGTTTTGGATAAATCTTCTGATACAGGGGACACAGGGCTCAAAACTGGGACTGTCCTGGGTAAATCTGGACATTTGAACACTCTAAATATGTGCAAGGAAACATTTTTTTTAACACAGGTCAGAAAACAACATAACCTTTGTCGATGCTTGGTGTGGATTGGTTTGAGAGCCTTTGAGATAAATCCACGGACGGGCCCCGTGCTTGTGTCGCTTTAAATAAACCGTGCCATTAATATCGGCCTCGTGTTTACGCAGTACCCGCCTCGATCCGCCAGGGCCCGCTGTTTAAAGGGCTCTCTCTCGCACTCGCACGGCGTGGATGCCCTGGCCGCCTCCAGCAGAGAGCAGTGCGCGGTTGGATGTGAGCGCTGCCGACCTGTCTCTACTTCCAGATCGAAGATGGCGGTCTCGGTGTTCCCCGGCGTGCGCCTCATCTCCATCGGAGACGCAAACGGAGACATCCAGCGGCACTCGGAGCAGCAGCCCCTCCGGTTAGAAGTCAAAACAACACAGGACGCGGCCCTCATCAATCTCTCCAATGGTGAGTTGACCTTTTCCGCAGCGGCTCCCGGGATGTTCGGCCTGTCTTGTGCCACGGCTAATGCTAAGTGCTGCTAATGCTTATACGGCTAATCTTACCCAGGACGCGCACGATCCCAGGCATTTCACCCGGAGTGGGCGTGGTTTGGGGGGCATCGTCTTTTTCGTTCTTTAAAACTTGGAAAATTTCTGCTAATTTTTATCAGTGAATATTAGTTTAATGCTCAAAATACGGTTGCGGAAAATAGCTTTGGTTCTATTATTTATTTATTTTCGTTATTTATTTATTTTTTTTTTACACACATACATATATTTTTATAATTTAAACTCAAAACAAAACAGAGGCAGATAATAAATGCGTACAAGGAAATCAATACGAGAAACTGAGGAAGTGTTTAAGTGGGTAAAATTAAAATCCTAATAAAATTTCGTGTATTAATAGATGATAAAAGAATGGAATTTGGTCATTTATAGATTTTAGGTAAATATTTTATTCACAAATGTCGTTGTTTTTTTGTTTTTTTTAAAGATGAAACAAAAAAAACAAAAAACAACACACTTGAAGAACGACGTGAAACTTTTTTTTTTTTTTTTTTCTTAAAGCAAATTGAACCGAATTGAAAGAAAAGAGTAGGGTTTCTTACGTCTTTTTAGGAATAATTTTGATTTGTTACTTTGATCATGCGCTTTGGAGTTGCCCCTTTTGTACGTGAATGTGTTCGCATCTTGAGTTCTAAAGTATTAACAAAAAATAAATAAATAAAATCCAAATTCTTCTGTAATATCGAGTGTTTTGATAGATTTATTGTTGGAAATACTGTTTGCTGTTTGTGATTTTAAAATAATAATTTGGTTAAAAAAAAAAAAGTCAACAACAACAACAACAACGGCGCGGGTGACGTCGGCGCATTAATCTCCGCCCTCCCCGAGCCGGAATGCCTGGGTTCTAGAGTGTCCCTCCGCTCGGTCCCTAATCCGGCCGCCGTGCGCAGCGTTAGCCGCCGAGAAGCTAACCCATCCGGGGGAGCTCACGTCGCGTCCCCCCGGTCCTCACGAGGGAGCCCCGGAAAAACGTGGAAAAAAATAGTCCCGCGTTAACTCTAAACCGCGGTGTTTTTGTTAACACCGGTGTCTCGGAGAACTTGTCAAAACGCGAAGCGGAGCGCGTAAAGCCGCATAGTTGTACACAAGCGTGGCTAAGTAAAGTGTAGTTTGATGCTAACTAGTTAAACAATGCCATTAGCCTGGTTGTGTGGGGATGCGCTAGCGTCCAGATGCCCCGGTTATGTTGCGTCTTTGTCCGCGGCGCAGTCTCACGATGCAATAACGACGCGTTTTAAAGTTGAATCCCTTGAGGTTTGCTGCTTTTTTTTTTTCTTTTTTTTTGCTCAGTTTTACGTGTGAATTGTTTATTTTGGAGCGGAGGGCATCACTCCACTTTGACCCGTCGCTGTGATGCTGTCCAGCGGCTGCAGCATCTGTCCGCGTCGCTATCCTCCGCGTTCACACATCGCCGCCGAAAATACAAACTTTTAATTATTTTATTTTTTTTACTTTTAATTGACCCGAGCTCTTTGTTATTGTGAGCGAGTGTAGTGCGAGCCCGGGCCCTCATTATTTATGCATTCATCTTTGTTCTCATTGGAACAATAGCCGGGTCCCCGCTCCCCTCTCTCCCCGCTGAGGCGCCTGCTCCGCTCTGAATGGGCCGTCCCGCTGCTCGCCTCCCCTGGGGATGCTCCGGAGAAGAATGGCTCCAAATCTGTTCGATACACACTTAAGACGCACGCCATTTACTATAGACGCGTTTTCTACTCTCAAATTAAAGTGATTTATGTTTTAAAGTGATTTAAAGTAGGGTGTTATATAGGGATGTAACATATCCAAATCTCACGATGCAATATTATCACGTTATGAATCTCACTGCTGTTGCTACTATAAAACCATACATTTAAGCAAAAGAACTTGTGACGATGCCATATCATGATATTTCAGTTATTGTTACATCAGTAGCTCTAAAATTTAGACAAGATTTCCCCTTTTCTCACACTAAAATTGAGTACTATGTGAAAAAATATATTGCTGAGAGACTACATATCTACGACGTAGACTACTACGCTTTAATCCCTTTTTTTTTTTAAATTATTGAAGTTACATTCCTAACAGTAACACAACAACATAACATAAAGGCAGAGGTAGATGACTTCAAATCTATTCGATACACATTTAAGCCGCACACCATTTACTATAGACGCGTTTTCTACTCTTAAATTAAAGTGATTTTTGTTTTAAAAGTGATGTGTTACCCAGGGATGTAAACAAATGACAATGTATGACTCTCTTTACTGTTCGAAATGATCAAATTGGTCAAAAATACGGACTCTTGGGACATTTCTTGTGTAAAACTGGGACAAATCGGTGGTTTTGTAGAAATATGCTGGGATAGGGGACACAGGGCTCAATACTGGGACTGTGCAGAGAGACTTCTACTACACTTTAATTCCTTTTTTTAATTACTGAAGTACAGTAACACAACAACGTAACATAAAGGCAGAGGTAGATGGCTCCAAATCTGTTCGATACACACTTAAGCCGCACACCATTTACTATAGACGCGTTTTCTACTCTTAAATTAAAGTGATTTTTGTTTTAAAAGTGATGTGTTACCCAGGGATGTAAACAAATGACAATGTATGACTCTCTTTACTGTTCGAAATGATCAAATTGGTCAAAAATACGGACTCTTGGGACATTTCTTGTGTAAAACTGGGACAAATCGGTGGTTTTGTAGAAATATGCTGGGATAGGGGACACAGGGCTCAATACTGGGACTGTGCAGAGAGACTTCTACTACACTTTAATTCCTTTTTTTAATTACTGAAGTACAGTAACACAACAACGTAACATAAAGGCAGAGGTAGATGGCTCCAAATCTGTTCGATACACACTTAAGACGCACACCATTTACTACAGATGCGTTTTCTACTCTTAAAGTGATTTTTGTTTTAAAAGTGATGTGTTACCCAGAGATGTAAACAAATGACAATGTATGACTCTCTTCACTGTTGGCAGGGATCAGATCGGTCAAAAATAGAAACACCTGGGACATTTCTTGTATAAAACTGGGACAGATCAGTGGTTTTGTATAAATATGCTGGGACAGGGGACACAGGGCTCAAAACTGGGACTGTCCCGGGGAAACAGGGACGTCTGGTCACTGTACACTATATGAAAAAATATATTGCAGGGAGACTTCTACTAAGCTTTAATCCCTTTTAAAAAAAAAAAAAATTAAAGTACAGTAACACAACAATGTAAATCTGTTTGATACATATTTAAGACATGCACCATTTACAAAATATGCATTTACTATTCTTAAATTAAGGTGATTTTTGTTTTTAAAGTGATTTTAAGTAGGGTATTATACAGTAGCTCTAAAATTTAGACCAGATTTCACCTTTTCTCACACTAAAATTGATCACAATACGAAAAAATATATTGCTGAGAGTCTTCTTCTACACTTTAATCCCTTTTTTAATTATTCTTGAAGTACAGTAACACAACAACATAACATAAAGGCAGAGGTAGATGGCTCCAAATCTGTTCGATACACTTAAGACACATATCATTTACTATATAATTGCATTTTTTTATTCTTAAAATAAAGTGATCCTTGTGTAAAGTGATTTTAAATAGGGTATTATACAAAATTTTGACAATATTTCCTCTTTTTCTCACACTAAAATCGATCACTGTATGAAAAAATATAGTACTGAGAGACTTCTGCTACACTTTGATCCCTTTCGCAGCATTTTGAAATACTTATTTACATTTTGCTTATCTTAAACAGCATTCCTGTTAGTCTAAAAATCCTACATGTTGCTCAACGTATTTTTGTAGAATAATCTCGAACAGTATTCTAAACCTTAAAGCCGAGCTGGAAGGGAATCTATCATGTTCTTAATATAGTAATGCATTTAAAGGAACACTTACGCAACTTTTCTGGTGTCTGGACTATCTAGTATTTATTCAGTATGGGTGTTTCTACTGCTCAAAAATACAATAATTTATTTTGTGAATAAGGGCGACTCTCCACAGATCTGAACTGTAATGTAGCCTAGTACTGTAACCTGCTTGTCTCCCTCGTGATGGATAAATTTAATCTATACTGTGGAAAAATGTAGACAAAGTAATAACATTTCCATGGGGACGAGCAGATGGCAGACCCTCCACCAGAAAGTCCTCTAGAAATGTTACGCACTGCATCTTTAATATGTGAACGGACCCCTGGTGACTTTAATCTGGAAAAGTTGGCCCCCCTGTTGGAAAAGGTGAAGGCGTCCTGATTTAGATTTAGGGCTGCAGCTAATGATTATTTATTGGTCGACGAATCAGCGCAACTGTATGTATTGTATGTTGTATAAAGCTAAAAATAAACTGCCCTGAGTGAAAAGTTCAAGAGAGAAAATACTCACAAATAAAGTGTGGTATGAAAACGTACAAGTGTTCATTTTGATTTACCGTATTTTCTACATTATAAGGCGCACTGTCATTGAATGGTCGATTTTCGAACTTTTTTCACAAATAAATCGCACCGGATTTTAAAGGAAACACAACAGTGTGATGGGTGGGTGTTTTTGTTTGTTTGGTGCGTTCACGGTGACTCTGGGCTTTGTTCAGTTGTGGCGTGTAGGGAGGGTGCTGTCTGGGACCAACGGATTGTCGGCATGTTCGCAGTGACTCAGTTGTGTCTAGAAGTGGCACATTGCGCTCGCTTTTTCGGTTCGTTCCTCCGTTCCGTTCCTCGTCGGCATGGAGTGATGAGTGTGGCTGCGGGTGTTTGTCGGCACGCGGTCGCTGTCTGCTCTGTGTGTGTTTGCGTGTTCTGCGGGTGGTGCAGGTTTGTTGTTTACCGAAATCGTGCTGGGACTCCCGAGTGGATTCGTGTGTAGGGCGCTCTTGGATTGTGGGGCGCACAGTCATTTTTTGATGGGGTTGGAG